CCACCTAAACAATTAGATAATTCAAAACAACCATCAAGAATTATAGAACATGATGATGGTTCAGTAGATATAAATTTTGGATCTTTTCCATTTACTCCTTCTAGATTTTCAACTGGATCAACCAGTAATGTTGATATAAAAACACCTCTAATTCCAAAATCTATATATATATGTATATATATATGTATATATATATATATATATATACATATATAGGGTGGATCACGTGAGACCAACCTGTTTTCGTGAGACCAGTTTTTTACACTTGAAACTTTACAGCAAAATGTTGTGAAGGTAATCTTCACAGTGTTTTTGCTGTGAAGTTTCAAGTGTAAAAATGTGGTCTCACGGGTCTTATGAAAATAGTCTGGTCTCACGTGAACCCAACCCCCCCCTCTCTTTATATATATATATATATATAGAGAGAGAGAGAGAGTTTGTTTTAAATGCAACCCATCGTATTTGTGCAACCAATGCAACCTAATAAGTTGAAATATTTATGGAAAACACCTTAAAAGGTCGAATCAAACGTGATTTTACACTAAAATCACGTATAAAATCACATAAGATTCACGTGACTTTGGCCGCGACCTGAGGCCGCGGGCCACGTCCCTCGCACACCCTTTTGTTGATGGTTAATGTAAAAATCACATGTGATTTTGTACATGATTTGGCCGTTTTCATATTCTCTTATTTAGTTACCATTTTCGTTTCAACCTCCTTTATATATATGTATGTGTATATATATATATATATATATGTTTGACAAAAACCAAATACTATGGTTAGAAAGTAGATCCATCATTTGTAGGAATACCCTTTAACCACAAATGTAATTCTAGATTGATGGCCTAATGAGTTGAGGGAGATCGATTACAATTGACATGCTAAAGAGGGAGTGGTTAAAGGCCGGTTATAATCGGTTGGTCCCTATTAATTACGATTTGGTCAAGGGACTATCAGTTACACATTTTAGGCTAGAGGCCTGGACTGGTTATGTCGTAACCAATTACATGGTGACACTTTTGACCTGGACTGTTATGTCCATTCGGGGCCAACCTGTATTTAGTAAGCAAAAAAGATCTCATGCCTACAAAACCCGAGCTAGGTTGGGAATTGAGTGTGAAAATGGGCTCAATCAGCCTTTCTCGGGCCATAAGAATATACTTAGCTTAATCGGGCTTTTAGGCCTGACTGCGTATATGATATTATCCGCTTTTGCCAAAGAATCATTTATACAAACACAAAACAATATAGTAACATAAGGTTGTTTTTCTAGATACCGAAGGGAGACTCTTTATTGATATAATACTGGAAATTTACAAAAGAATATATTCAAACTCAGAACCTCATATCATCTTGAATAGACAAACCGTACGTTTACGCTAAGTTGTATTACAAATAATTAGAAACTATACATGTATAAATTATATCACCTTCTTTGAACAAACCTCGACCCTGAAAACCTTTAAAAATGTATTTCAGTCAAATATGCCTTCGTTTTATCGTTCCTATTGTCCATAATCTACACCGAGATCTTTAACTCACTCCCCATGCCTGCAAAACATATGCCAATAGGGTAAATGAAGAAAGAACCAAACCCGATTAAACGAGTCAAGTAGATTCCATCCAAAGTTGGGGTCCAGTGGAGGTGAGATGTATGCAAACATGTCCTTAGAGCGGCTGGTCTCGTGAAAACCCTCAACTTGCAAGTGTGTACAGAAGAGGGTTTTTGAAAGATGAGACACTACAACAATATCAGCTTTACTGGATGCCAAATATGTCTAAATATTTAAGAGCCTAATAGACTGGTTTATAGGACCAATATATAGGTCTTACAAGAGGATGTTAGAACGCATTTGGATATCTTTACAAGTTTTTTAGTACACTTTTGAAATAAAATGTCCTATTAGCTTTTTTATAGAACAATTTTGACAAAGGTGCTATGAGCACATCTTTTTATAGGACACTTGTTTTTACAAGACAATTTTTATGTTTTATTTCAAAATTGTGCTAAAAAACTTGTTAAAATGTCGAGACTTGTTGCAACACTTTTACATACATACGACAAAATTATCTATTCCTGTAAACTTGAGTCTTATAAAGCAGTTATTAGGATATTTAGACATATTTAGCGTCCTATAAAGCCGATTTTGTTCAATAAAATGAACTGAAAGAATTGTGTAAACTGAAAGAAGTACCTGAACTCTTCCATCAGAGGTTCCAATCACCAAGACATCTTCCTTGCTATCTAGAGCCATGCAAACAACTTTACAATTTGTACCAGTTTGTAGGGTTTCTTTTCTAGTGAGTTTCTTCCTACACCATACTTCCACAACCCCTCCTTTGCAACCCATATAAATCATATCGGAACTAATGACCATCGTGCGCACTTCGCTCCCCAAAGACACCGATTGGTTTAAAGTGTAGTTTGAAGCATTCCATATCTTCAAGAAAACAAAAGAAAACTCGATATAGCACCGGATAGAAAAAATAGAAACCAGATTGATTCAATGAAGGAAATCCATTAATAGGGTAATTGTGCCCTTAAGGGTAGAGGTATGATCTGTGTATATCATACCCTCCATAGACCCTACCTCTGGGTATGTTTAGTTTGGTTTTGTTAGAGTCCCATATCAGCTAAACTTGAACCATTTCTCTATACAGGGTACGTTTAGTTTGGTTTTGTTAGAAATGTTAGCTAAACTTGAACCATTTCTCTAGACTGGGTAGGTTTAGTTTGGTTTTGTTAGAGTTCCATATGAGTTAAACTTGAACCATTTCTCTACATCGGGTATAAACTTGAACCGTTTCTCTATATCGGGTATGCTTGGTTTGGTTTTGTTAAGAGTCTCATATTAGCTAAACTTGAACCATTTCTCTATACTGGGTACGTTTAATTCAGTTTTGTTATGTATTGGCTAAACTTGAACCATTTCTCCTTAATATATGTTGGAACCTGCCTTCTAAGAGCTCTTTTGGAGAATAATCTAACGGGGTTTCACATATTCTTGCATGGTATTAGAGCCAAGGTTTACCACTCGAGGGACTTGACATCTCGGGGCAAACGAGTGTCCTACCTAATTGTTAGATTAGAATAATGTACAAGGGAGAGGTCTTTAAAAAAACGTATACTCCAACTTTCCTTTCTTTGAGATTTCCAAAAGGTGAGATTTCGCAACGAAAATTCGCAGGTTCGGTCGTCAGGTCGAGAAGAAAGGGATTCCTTTGAAAGAAAGGGAACGCGAACTCAAACTAGTTAGAAGCCCGGGCCCATTAGTAGCACTAGCTTCTGCCTGCTGCTACATGTACTCCTCTAACTCTCTCTCATCACTCTTGGGATAATTTGCGCCCATCTAGCCTCCACCGGAAGGGCGTGTTAGAGGCCTATATCGGCTAGACTCGAACCATTTCTCCTCAATATATGTTGGAACCTCGCTTCTCTCCTGAAGAGCTCTTTTGGAGAGTAATCTAATGGGGTTCCACATTTTCTCACGAGTTTGGTTTGAGGTACATGGTTGTAACTTGTAATTGAAAAGCATAATCTTGCTAATACCTTTAATGCAGTTCCTTCTAAAGAAGAACCGACAGAGTATATGAGTCCATCATGAACTTTCAAGGCATGGACCGGATTCGCTTTAGCCAGTAGTTTTCTTGAGCCATTTTGGATGGAAATCAATGTGCCGGTTGCCAAGTCGATTTCCTGTAAACAAGCATAAAGTTCGATTATAGTGATGTTACAGTGAACCCCAGAAAAATAAACCACGAAAACCATGCTAAACTATACCTGAATGCTATTATCCTGGCATCCCGAATATAATCTTCCCTGAACAAGAGCCAAACACTTGACGTATTTACTTGGATTCAGTAGTTTTGATGTTCCACTCCATGAATGTATCTGATGAAACATTTCAGCTACGTGAAGTAACTATAATAAAAGTTACCAAACCGAACAAGCCCTGTATATCCCACCTAACCTGAGGTGGGGTTTGTAGAGGATAAAGATATACGTAGACCTGACCTCTATAACAGAATTTTCCAAACCAAACGACCCCAGTATATCCTACCCTGAGGTGGGGTCTGGAGAGGGGAAGATGTACGCAGACCTCACCTCTATAACAGAAGTAGAGGGTAAAGATATATGCAAACTTGACCTCTATAATAATAGAAGTTTACAAACCAAATGACCCACCACCCAAGTGGGATCTGGGGAGGACTAGATGTACATGGACCCGACCTCTATAACAGAAGTTACCAAACTGAATGACCCCAGTGTGTCCTACTCAGAGGTGGGGTTTGGGGAGGATAAGATGTACGCAGACCTGACCTCTATAACAGAAGTTACCGTACATTAAACCATATTATAGACAAAAACGTACCTTGATTCCAGCGCCTTGAGGTATAAAGCATGAGATGCTATTTGCAACTAGCAGATTGTTAACATGATCTTTGACATCATACACTTGTTCACATTGAAGTGTTTCCTTAATAGACCAGGCCTAGTTTATCATGAGAGATGAAACACATCAGAATCGGACCATCAAATTGTCAAAAAGAGCCCTTACTGAGAAAAGGGTCCAAGTCCATTTGATTTGGGACTCCATCACAAATCATACAAGTATTTGAAACTAACGAGATAGAAATAGAAAGAATTATCTTTTACCCTGACAGTTTTATCATGTGAACCGCTATATAATGTATCCCCAGACTGTAGAACAGTCAAGCTAGTGACTGCCTTCGAGTGTTCTCGGATTTCTTGGATAAGATATAGAACACTAGCTCTACTGGTCCACACCTTCATCATTTCAGTTAAAGAATCACTTTCAGAACCAAAGATGTAAACCCCAGATTATGCAGTTTTATGGTATGGTCTAGAAAGAGCAAAAGAGTTACCTTTATTGTACCATCTGAATGGCCTGAAAAGACTTTGTCTTTGTAACATACTATTGATAGAACTTCACCATTCATGCTACAATCTTGTTGGGTTAGTTCTTTATGATTCCATAGATCCTGATGCCCATGAAGAACGACTAGTTAGCAACCAGGACAATATATCAAATTTCACTACAACAAAATCGGCTTTTATAGGACGTCAAATATGTCTAAATGTCCCAATAGACTGCTTTTTAAGACTTAAGTTTATAGGACCAAATAATTGTGCATCCTATGTAAAAGTGTTGCAATAAGTTGATAGGATATTTTTGGGCATCTTAACAAGTTTTTTAGGACACTTTTAAAATAACGTGTCCTATAAGTATATTTATATGACACTATCTGAAAAGGTGTCTTATAAAAACAAATGTCGTATAAAAAGATGTGTTCATAAGGCACTCGTCAGAAATGTCCTGTTATTTTATTTCAAAAGTGTCCTAACTAACATGTTAGGAAGCCCAAAAAGGTCCTATCAACTTATTGTAACACTTTTATATAGGACAATTAATTGTTTGGTCATATAAACTTATAACCTATAAAGCAGTCTATTAGAACATTTAGACATATGTGGTGTGAAATAAAGCTGATCTTCTTGTAGTTCTTTTCGGTTTCATTTTTTCGCCCAAAACGAAAAACTCACAGCGCTAGATTCACTCCCTTCTGAAAAGACTTTAAGCATTTCGAATGCCACATTAGACAACTTTTTGAATTCCCTCAGACCCTTCAAGATCTCTTTCATGTGGGTGGTTATATCCCGAAGCCCATCTGAAATCCAGCAGAGATTAGATGTAATAACTGTTTAAGTTCCATGCTTTTCTGAATCTTTTTTTTGGGGTTTTCAAGAAATTTAGTCATGGATAGATGCTAACCAGGATCATGGATGAAACTGCTAAGAGCAAGCATGGAAAGAGCCTTATCTTCTGTGTCTTTTGCAGACTTGAAGATCGACACAAAGCGATTAAGCAAGCAAATTCGTGCTGCTCCTTGAATTCCCATGTCAGGAAGAATTCTGAGCATGTGTACAAGCCATGTCGCAGACACAAAGCATGCCGAATATATTTCTGCGTATCTACTCTTTAATCCTTCTGATAAAGCCTCAAAAATAAGACCAAATTCATGGCTCACTAAAACAAAAGCCATCTTTCTTTCCCATTCCTCGGCAGCTTTCTCTTCTTCCTGTCAATAGAAATCGATAATGTCGATGTAAATGGAGCTCAAATATTTGGCATGGCTGTTAGGATATGTGGATTGTTATTTAATCTCTCTATAAAAGAGTCCTTATAGGGAGAGGGAAGGTTCCTACATATATAGAGGTTTGATGGTATGTCTAGCTGATGTGGGACTCCAACACACCCCCTCAAATGGAGGCTAAACAGTGCTCCCAAGGACAGAGGCAAAAGAGTTGTCGAATTCCTAAGTGGTGCTAGACTCATTTTGATACCATGTTAGGATACGTGGAACCTTTTTAAATCTCTCCCTAAGAGAGCCCTTATAGAGCGAGGGGAATTCCGTACATATGTATATATATATATATATAGGTAGGTAGGTTTGATGGCCTGTGTCTAGCCGATTTTGGGACTCCAACAGAGAAAAAGACTAGAAACAAACCATAGTTTCTTGAACCTCTCCAGAAATGGCTGAAAGTTGTTCTCTTCGCATTGTAGATCGATAAGTTTTATCAAGTCCAGCATGTTTAAGAAGATACGCCTGAACAAGAGGTTTCCCAGAAGAAGAGAATCGCCCTTGGAGGGACAAAATAGTCTCAGCAGCTGCAATTTGAGCAGATGGGGAGTCTGAATTCTTTAGACATGATATAAGAGTATCAATCGCTTCTTCTCTATAAATACTCATTTTTCTTGGTTCTGCCTGCAAGAAAAGAAAGGATACATGTAAATTAAATTACTTCTATTGATCTTGTTGCATACATACATGTCTACAGGGAGATAGAGTCAAACCAGAAGGTCTAGTTGGAGAAGGAGGCCGGCAACAACAGGCAATTGATCGGCTGCAGCTGTTTGTAGATATATGAGGAGTGTATGCATTGTACTAAAACTGCCTTCATCCTTTATGATATGCAGGATTTGGTTGTTGAATGTTCTCCTATAGTAACAAAAGCAAGAAAGAAAATCAATGTTAGAATATGTGGAACCCCTTTAAATTCTCTCTAAAAGACCCATTATACAGAGGGAGAAGGTTCCTATATATACATGTTTGATGGTCCATGTCTAGCTAAACTGGGACTCCAACATGCCCCCACAAAGGAGGCTAGGTGGTGCCGCAACCCTGTCTGAAACCATGTTAAGATATGTGGAACCCCTTTGAATTCTCTTTAAAAGAGCCCTTATAGAGAGGGGGAAGATTCTTATATATATATATATATATATATATATATATATATATATATATATATATATATATAGGAAGGTTCAGGGGAAAACCCTTGAAAATAAATGAAAAACTAAGAAACACCCCGGTGACCATTCATCTGGACCGTATGCACATGTGCATATAAGTAATTAAAGTTGTTTCTTGGTTTTTATGCACATGTGCATACTGGACAAATTGCTTACAAATTACTTGTATACACATGTGCATACCGTCTAGATGAACAGTTACCAGAGTGTTCCTCAATTTTTCATTTTTTGCGGGTTTCACTTGAACCTGACCCTATATATATAAAAGTTTGATGGTCCATGTCTAGCCAATGTGGGATTCCAACATGCCCCGTCAAAAGGAGGCAATGGTGCCCCAATCCTGGCTCTAATACCATGTTAAGATATGTGGAACCCCGTGGAATTCCCTCTAAAACCTGAAGTCATAGGTTTATGTTTGTAAGTCAATATCACATTTGAGGAATTAATACCTGTTTAGTTTAACCAACTCGGAAAGAAATTGAACGATCTCAAACCGATCTTTATCATTCGACCCAACAAAGCTTTCTAAAACCGGAGCAAGTTCAGCCTTATCGGCAACAATGTTCCTGCACTTTCCATCTTCCTGCATGCATCTCAATAGTATACAGATCGCTGTGATTCTTTCTTCGGTCCACTCTGATTCCAAACTGTTGATAATACATTCGATCACCTTCCCTGAGATTACCCTTCTAATGACTTCAAAAATCGCATCGTCATCACCACTTGCAACGATCTGTCCCAATAAGAGCACTGAAGCTGCTTTCGGTTTGATGCACATCTTAAAGAACTCATCCTCCCTCTTGTTAATGACACTCAAAAGGGAATCCGCCATATCCATCTGAAGAAGGCTAGCGATAGAGGGTCTAAGCAAGTAGATCAAAACCACAGCCTCAAACAGACCTTTCTTGAAAAGTGCAACGACACATTCCACATCTGAATCCACCCTTGTTAGTGTCGAGATCACGCTGCTGTCTCTTGATCCGAGCTCAGATAGGAGGAAAACAGTGGCTATTAAAACTCGGGTGTCAATAGAACTGAACAGAATCTCCACAAACCCGTTAATAACAGGAGGTTGCGAGAGCATAGTTTGGATTTCCACTTCCATACTGGTTTCTTGCCAGAATCTTTCGATTCTAAGAACTGCCGTTTCTGCCTCTTTCAACACCTCAGAAGTACAAAGACTCGTGATGGTAAGTCTGAGTTCGTTAACTGTTCCATCAATAGTTGCTTGGCTTATCACACTGTTGGGAGAAGTCAACTGAGGGATATATACATGCTCGTTTTCTAGATATGAAATCTCAGGTGATAAACCAGAATTTCTGGGACTTAACTCTTTCCAGCTTGCAATCAGCCTCTTAAGCACATAGTTTGTTTTAGGAAGTTGAGTGCTGTGAAGCTTCTGTCGGGTTATTGGGCAAGTAGCATTCCCTCTTTCTAACCATTGTTGGATCGCTTTACGCTCGTAAGTCTGACCAGTTTCTAGAGTAACTGGATCGTTAAATATATGGGTTGTTATCGGGCAAACAAAGTCTTTAGGTGGTGTATGCCTTCCTTCATTCATCTGGTTATCATAGTCTTCCATTAGAGGATCAAGAGAACTGGTTTTTCACAATAAGAAAAAAAACGAATCCAGATTTAGAACAAACCAAACCAAACGAGCCCAGTATATCCCACCTGGAGGTGGGATCAATGGAGGGTAAAATGTAAGCAGACCTGACTTCTACCTCAAAAGTAGAGAGGTTGTTTCTGTGAAGACCCCAGCAGCTTTTAGAATAGGTAACGCAAAGAGAACTAGTTCATGAAATGGAAGTTCTTACCTCGACTCTATTAAAATGGGTTGTTTCTGTTTCTGAGATTGATTATTCTTCGAGTCCACCAATGCCATTTCTGTCTTCTTTTCCTGCTAAAAACAGAATAAGACAGCTTTCGTGGTTAAGACAAAATGCTGCTTAGGTAAGTCAGTCCGACAATGGAGAATATTATTTCTTTTTTCTTTGTAGTTATCGATTAGGACCTTTACTTCTGCATCAGAGTCACTGGATGAGGTGCTGCAAGAATCGTCGTCGTGAACAGACTCGGGTTCTGAACCGCTGTCTTTATATGGTGACGGTTTAGATGTTCTTGAAGATGATCTCTGGTTGGTCAGAACTCTAGGAGAGACTCTTTCAGGCAAGAAAGATGGAAACTTGGAGAGAGTTTTGGCTTTGTTGATTTGGATTTCAATAGATTGTTCTCCCTCAGTCCATATTGGCTGCATAAAATAACAAAAACATAGGACTCAGTCATGGAGCATACTAGTAATCATAGCTTGACTTTGTCAAATTGGAAGTAGAAAACAGAAACAAATACATTTCTTTAAGATCCAAGACAAAAACTCTGGAGTCTGGATTTAAGGAAGTTTCTGAATGTGGGATTTGCAGGAAGGGAAAAAAGAACACCCTTTTTATTGCTATTGGAGAAGATGATATCACAACCAGGAGTCCAGAACTGCAAACCTTGCAGACCAACCCTAAGGGGTAGCTTAACTACCTTGGTTTTAATCCTAGAGGTCAACAGTTCAAGTCCCCTCACCAGCGGAGGGTTTGCCCGACTATTAACTTTAGGGCCAATAGGATTAGTCGAGGTGCATGCAACCTGGCGCAGACACCCATGGTGACCAGAAGGTAGGACTGCAAACCATTGAAAGGGGATAATGTTAAAAAAAAAAAAACTTAAAGACTATGTGAGCTTTGGTTCGAAGGACTATTTGACCCAATCAACGGGTGCAGATTCTAAGAAGTTGTACAAATTCAGGCATGGTGAAGCTAGTACCTAAAGAAAACAGAACAAATTACTTGTAATACGGAAGACTTCAAAGAAAGTAAAATATCCCAATGAGTAATGACCAACATCCTATAATTTAATTTAAATAATCCCAAGTTTATGCTAGTGAAAGATTCATGATCATAGCAGTCAAGAACACAAAACCATAATCTGCTGATGATGCTACATTTTAAGAAACTTTAGAAATGATCAAGAAGATATAAGCTGGAAAATGAACATTACATTATACCGTCCATTTTTTGATCCAAATTCGGTTGATATGCTCTTCTCATTTTGGTTGTGCTCATATGTATCACCCATGTGAACTGCTTCAAGCACCACCAATGGTGGATCGATTACTCGGTTCCCATCTCTATTTCCCAATATCTTTTCGAAATACCCAGCAAAAACCCTGCAATTTTCATCAAGAACTTGCTCATAATCTCTCTCTAATTCCTTCAATTCCGAGGCTTGATTGCCGTTCATTTTCGACAGTAAAGTGGTGCATGATACAACCGAATCCGTGACAATTGAATTGTCATCACTATCATATGCAGAACTTGAAGATAAAGAAGATAAAATACGTGATCTTTGCTCATTGTACCACTCAAGAACAGGTAAAAAATTTATTAGAAACATTTCTTCGAACACTTGGGGAGCAACTTCTGATCTCGCTGTTGATGGGTCAGTTCGGAAACAGTCAAGGAGACTAAGGGAGGCATCGATGGGGCATTGGCATAGAGTGTAGATAAGAGAGAGAAGGAAGGATGAAAATGGGTTTTCGGAGTATGAAAGTAGAACTTTTTCAGAGAGGCGGAGGGAAGAAGACTTGACGGAGGAGTTGGTGGTGGTAATGGCGTTTTCAAGCGTTTCAGCGGCGAGGTTTAGGTGTTTGATGTTGAGTTGGACAGAAGGAGAGAGTTTGTTCCGGAGGGTGGAGTAGATACGACGACGGAGGTCTGGTTGTGAGAGTGCTTCTGTGAGGAAGGCGTTTGTTTGTTGGAGAATCTCGCCGGTGGTAAACATGGCGGTGGTCGGTGGGGTGGTATCGGCGGTGGCGGAGTTCGAAAATTCAGTAGCGAGAAGGACTACAGCGAATGAGACGGAGATAAACCGGTTAACAGTACTGGCGCCAAATTTATTAGGACGGCCTGGTTAATTACCGTCATACCCTTTGACTTCTTTATTTTTTCTAACTTAGAATATTATTTTGAATTTTTAAATAATAAATTTAGCATAAAATAATCAGGTAATTTTCCTGTGTTTATTTGGTTTTTTTTTTTATTCCAAATGAATTGCCATTTGTCCATGAGAGGGGTAGATTGGTAATTTTAACAGAATTTCACCGGCGGAGGTTTATGCCGGCCGTCTTGGCCGGCCGTCACGTGGTCCTTTTAGATTCTATTTCATAGAAAGATTATTGCTCCTACCAAACATATTTTTCGATGGCACGTAAATTTGGTATGTATAAAGAAAATCAGATACAAGGATTTAGGGGTCTTTAGGATTGTTTATAAAAATAACTTATTGATTTATTTCTATGTTGTATCGGTAATAAGCAATTTTAAGTGTTTGAATAAACAACTTAGACCGATGCCAAATCGGTAATAATGAGTTTTTGAAGAAGTTAAACCCTTCTGATTTATAATAAGTTGATAAATGCTTTTGTAGAAAATCATAAGTTGTTTTTGTTTCAGATAAACAATCCCAAACACCCCTTAATTTATGTAATTTATTAAATTAATATAAAATAAATATTTTTATAATAAAATATATCATTTCATCAAAACAATTAAACTTAAACCAAAATATGAAGTTTATATAATATTTTCAAAATTTATTTTATATATTTTCTCTATATATATTTTTTATTTTAAGTATTTAATAAACTATATAAATCAACAAAATTATAGAAACTGTTAAAAAATGAAAGTTTAAAGAAAATAAAATACAATAAATAAAATTTAAAAAATAAATAAAATATAAGGGGGAGGGGGGTTGCATTTGATGTTTCATAGTACAATATATTAATAAAATATAGGTTTGTTCGACGTTGTTTTTTGAGACAGGAGTGAAACACACCTGTGAAACAAATGTTGTTTCGCTTTGTTTCACTCTGTTCATATGGGTCCGCATAAAAATCATGTCAGATATGAAACATTGATCCCTATTCTAATTTATTGTTATCATCCGGTATACAAAATAAATTAAAATTATTAAATTAAACTTTTATATTTGTATTTAAAGTTTTAAACATTGTAGTTACATTGGGCCGATGACCTCAGAAAAATGGGCCAATAATTATTGGGTGGACTCTCATAAATGGGCCCATTAACATAAAGCCCAAGAGACAACTGAGAATGAGATTTGACCCAATTTCTCTCCTTCCATCCTAGATCCTACTGAACTCCATTATTCTGTTATGGCAGTTTAGAGCTTCTTCCCCCTCGTGGAAAACCCTAAATTAAATTCTAGTTTTAGTTAGGAATCTGTATCTCCGACCATCTATGGCCATTTTTAGAGCCATGATTGCTAGGAAGTTTTCGTCTGCTACTGTTCGATCATTGCGTGTTTGTGTAGTCGGCAGCGGCCCTGCTGGTTTTTACACCGCCGAGAAGGTTTGCTCACCCTTATCTCTCTCTCTCTCTCTCTCTTTATATATATATATATATATATATATGTACTTCTGTGTGTGTATGTATGTTTCTATAAAGGTATATGTGAAGAAATGGACGTCATTGAATTTGGGGTAATAAGTAATTGATGATCATTTTTTTATGATTGACTGCTGGCGCGGTATAATTTATTGATTATAAGTTTTAATTTTCGTTTCAGAGAAGTTGAGCTAGTCATTTGAGTTTGAGTTGTTAAATTAATCAATATCAAAGTTCACTAATGGGGGTTGCGTTTAGAGAACTTGATTCCGATATACATTGCTCGTTTGTATCCCAATAGGCTAATCATCATAATTGTCATAGTTGGTTTGGGAAGTCTTGGATCATCTATATGAACATGGACCAATGCCTAATGGTCCTGTTGTGTTCATTAATTCATGCTAGCTTCAATTGTAGCTTCAATCACAATTAAGCTTGCTTTGAGCATGGACCTTATAGCAGGACAGATAGGGGTTTTGGTTAGTGCAAGGCCCCATTTTCTTTGTGTTTGCTAATTCGTTCATTCAAGGACCGGAGCTTTCATCTGAATCCCTTATGTTCGTAGTTTGAGATGATTCAGTTGTTGTCATGCACTACCCCCACCCCCCAAAATACATACATACCGAAAAAAGAATTCACATTTGACTGTTGACAGTCATATCACATATGGATTATTCTTCAACTCCATATTTGATTGAAAAGTGTTTCTGGACAGAAAAAATGAAAACCATAGTAACAATGTTAATGCTACAAACTTGAAATTCTTGGTGCTACAAACAGAATAAAGAATTGGTATCAATTTAATTATTCATAATATACCAGGTTTTACTTTCGGAAACCAAACAAACATGGACTTTAATGTTTTTCTCAAGCTAGTGCTATTTGTAGAGTGACTAAGAATCCGTTTTTGATGGAAATTACTTCTGCAATAAACTAATAGATGCTGAAAGCACATGAAGGAGCAGAAGTTGACATCATTGATAGACTGCCAACACCATTTGGATTGGTTCGGTCTGGGGTAGCACCTGATCACCCTGAAACAAAGGTATGTGTTGCAAGATTTACAACATCTATTTATCACTTTTCGTGTGTGTATTAGCTTGGACTTGTAGATGTTAGTTTTTATCCTCTATCATGTTTTGTTGGTTTGTGCCTGTTTGCTTCTTTTTTGGGCTAGGACAAGTTTGATATATTTTTATAAGTTCTAGTAATATTGTATGCGTTTGCTAATAGATATAGGATTCTTTATGTCCCACTGCAGAAATGCTGATGAATTTCATGGCATAGAAGCCTGGAAATCTGGAATTACACATTACTAATGAAGAAAGCAGATAATAAATTAATGATTAAGATAGAGGGAGATAAATAGTAAAAGGTTAATCATTGATATTTTGACAATACAAAATGGCCCTTATAATGACTGTATTTTACCACCTTGTGTCAGCATTTACTTTATTTTATCTGAAAAAAAAAATCATCTTAATTGAGCCATTTGACCAGAAAACTTGCAACAGATTGTCACCAACCAATTTTCTCGGGTTGCACGTAATGAACGGTGCTCATTCTTTGGGAATGTGACTCTTGGATCCTCCATTTCTTTGTATGAGCTCCGCCAAATTTATAATGTGGTAAGGGACAAGTTTAAAATCACTTAGTCTTTTGAGTTTATTTCTTTTTGTTCTGTATGTGAATAATTACAATCGTATGCCATCAATTAGGTTGTGCTTGCTTATGGTGCTGAAAGTGATAGAGTTCTTGGTATACCAGGAGAGGTATGTTATTTTCCTGGTTGTTGCCTCTGCTCAATCTCAAAATATGAGATCATCGCAGAAATGGCAGTTTTCTGCATCTTACCATCCATTTGAAAATCTCATAAATTATTTCATTTTACCATTATTTTATGCACTCACTGCAGGAGTTAAATGGTGTGCACTCTGCCAGAGAATTTGTTTGGTGGTATAATGGGCACCCAGACTTCAGCAAGCTGACACCGGACTTGAAGAGCACAGACACAGCCATAGTTCTGGGACAGGTATCTTCACACATATGTACATATATGTGCATTGTTTAGATGTTCATGAGTGTGCACATATTAGTCATGGAAGTAGGTAGAGTTACTTTTTTAATTGGTTTGTTTTTATTTTAAGTGAGCGATTCTACTGTTAGGAAGGTTATACGTATTATTTTTTCTGATATATGTGAAGTGACAACTTCAGTTTTGAAGCAAACACCTATTATGAAATGACCAACTATTGAATTTTTTTTAGGGTAATGTGGCTCTTGATGTTGCTCGGATTCTCTTAAAACCGCCGACGGAGTTGGCTGTAACTGATATTGCCAGCCATGCTTTGGCTGCTCTTAAGACGAGCTCCATAAGGTTATCAATCGCTAGTTGGACGGCGAACTAGTTTCTGCAATTTAAGTGCGTAATATCTATCTTCTGATTTTTCAGGAAGGTTTATCTTGTTGGCAGACGTGGACCTGTACAAGCGGCTTGTACTGCAAAAGAGCTACGAGAAATTCTTGGTAATTGTTATAGGTTACGGGTTGTTAGCGGATGCTCCATTCTCCAAAAATCAATGCCTTTGCTCATAATAGGACATATGTACCCAAAAGCATTTTAAGAAACAAATATACATCATTGAATATTTGCTTAAAAACGGTAAGAGAGCAAAAATGGTGTTTGGTAGAAAGATACTTTTCTGATGTTAAAATGGACAAGAATTGTGGTCATTATGTGTTTGGTTTAATAAATGGTCGCCTTAGGTCCTTTTGTAAATCAGTCATAATAGGAACTAAAAATAAAAAGCGAGTATAATTGATAGCAATTAAAAAATATTATTATCGCATTCCATCCTAAGAAAATGCAACATTTGACTTGGCACTTGGTGTAATAAAAATGCTTGACTATTGATCAAATGTCTAAAATGCCCCTTAAAACATTGGGACCACACTCAAAATTACTAATGTCAGTTACTTATTACTAAGGGGCAAAAGGTATGGTAGGTTTAAAAACTTACCCAATAAGGAATTTTGCACTGTTTTGGGACAACCCAAAATGGAAGATGCTATATTGTTTTGAGATGGAGAGAATAACAATGAAGTACCATGGATATAGCTTTTGTAATTGCAAAATAACATTTTGGATAGGATAGCAAATTACCTGGTCAGACTGCTTCTGAAAATGTGCTTATGATCACTCTTTGCCCTGCTTTGGCTTAGAGAAGCTGAGTTTTATTTAATTTACAGAAAACAATTAAGTGCCTTTGGAGGAGCTCATAACTAGGTTTGACAGCTTCTGAGCGATCTCGAACAAGCTTTAAATAACATATAAAATAACAAACAATATGACAAGTACCATTAATATCCCATGGGCTGATGCCTTCTCAGTATTAGTTTTAGGTTTTAAATGCATTCTTTGACCCTTTCTGTTGCTCTTGCATAAGATTGGTCAAGATGGAAATCGGTTTAGCCTTACTAAATGGTTTTCCTTTACAATGAACCTCTCTGGTTGTAACTGTGTGATCTGGAACTTGAAACTTTGATGGTTGAGGACCGTTTCCTGTTGGAAAGATCCACTAAATAACCATAGACTTTCTCTTGTTTATGATGATTTGCGGTCTTCTCTGTAGTGTATAATGTCACATAAATAATCAACACTTTGCACTGTGTTTTTCTTCTTCAAATTCATTTTACACGGAAGCTGAATTCCTTCTAATTCTGGTTCTTATAAAGTTTTGGATCTCTCATCGCAGCTATCAAAGATTTATATGTTAACATCAAGGAAACCGATCTCCTAACAACCTCTGAAGAAGAGGTCAAATCATTTCCTCAACTTTCGTTTGGCTATACTGTTAAAATAATATGTTTTCATTTTCACAGTGATGCAGCCTCTTCCTCCCCTTCTTTTTCAAGTTAAAAGCTGCTCTATGATTCCAGTATAGCCTGTTTACTTTTAGGATTTTTGATCTATAAGTGAGGTTCTGTTTTGTTGTTCTGCAAAGGAAGAAATGAAGAACAATCGTATACGGAGGAGGGTCTTTGAGTTGTTATCCAAGGCATCCTCATCAGCGGCACCCCATCCAAGTTCGGGTCAACGAGAACTGCACTTCACTTTCTTCCGGAAACCTGATAAATTTTTAGAATCAGATGACAGAAGTGGCCATGTTGCTGGTTTGCAATTCGAGAAGACAACACTTCAAGGTAGAATCAGTAAAAGCTTGTGTAACTGGCTTGACAAATATGTTGGCTTTGGGATGAATTACATTCATTGTTCTCATAAACAGTCAAAGTGCATGTTTTGATTTGCTAGATGTTTAAATTGTTCCTTCTCATGAATAATTAGTGCCATTGTGACAAGCATAAATGTTAATTTTGTGGAGTAGTTTTCCATACCCTGCAGCCACTTTAAGATGACTACGAATTCTGTTCGATATTGATTATTGAGTGAAATGTTTGAAAACTTGTATCTATAGTTTACACTTCATTTGGAGAAGCTCTTGTTTGTTGTTTGCAGTACAGAAAAATTAACACCAATCTAATTTTCTAGGAAGGGATGGCTCTGGAAATCAGATTGCAGCAGGTACAGGACAGCATGAGGATCTAAAATGCGGGTAAATTCCTTGTTGACTGGAAGCAATTTTTAAAATGTTGTATCCCTGCTAACAAAATTTGCAAGAATGTTGCAACTGGTCAGGCCGTTTCAAATACACTGAGGTTCCGTTTGGTTTGTAGGATTGGATAGGATTTGGAGGGATTTGGAACTTAATTCCATTCCAATTGCATGTTTGCTTTGAAGGATTGCTTGGATCTGAATTCCCACAAACATGGGATTTAGAAATTCCATGAGGGTTGTTGGTATTTTGCGGGATTTCATAGGATTTGTGTAATAATGTTTTAAAATATGTTGAAAACATTTTTTTTGTAATAATCGATTACTAAAAAGGTAACTTAATTATTTTTATAATTATTTAAAGTTTGTTTTTATAAATTATTTATAAAAAATGGAATTCAATTCCATTTCAAATCCTACAAACCAAACACACCAAAGATTCCAAATCCTTCCATGAAATCCAAATCTCTCAAAACCATTCCATCAAAACAAACTCCCCTGAAAGATCATGCTGGTTAATCTGCTTGTGCGAAATGATTGGGGGGGATGTGGTTGAATGTGCTGCTCTTTAGATTCTAAACCAATTTGTCTATTTAAAAGGACTGTAGCTGTGAGGAACAGGTGATATGTCTTTTGTGTGGGAAATATTGGATAAGTTGCCATGTTATTCTCTTGTTGCTGGTTATTTAAATTATCGTGTATGCCTCATATCAGTTTTTTATAATGAAATGGAGACTTCTTTATAGAAAATGCTTGCAAGTTGCAATTTTACGTAAATTCTTCCTGGATAGCGAACTCTCTTCTTTGATTAACTTTCACTGATGGCAAAAGAAAGTATATGTACTCTGAACTTGAATTGAAATTAGAACCTGATTGCTTGAAGCCTAAAATGCATACCGCAAAATTAAATAGAAGGAACAGCTTGTGAACCATATACATGGGCCAGCGGTGTTAAGGCATGACCTGGTCTCTCAGAACTTGTTTAATCTTTTCTGTGGCATACGTATTACTGTCAAAATTGAAATTTGCTTTTTACAGATTGGTGAAACTGAAATTTGCTTTTTACAGATTGGTACTGAAGAGCATAGGTTACACATCTATACCAGTTGAAGATTTACCTTTTAATTTTCCCAAAGGTATGCGCAATATAAGTTGCATCCAACCAAACCTTTAACAGTTGATACTTTACTCTTCCGTTGTTGAAAAGGCGTATTAGATATATTACTGGAGTATGTCTGTAGGTTTGAGATTGATGCATACTGTTAGTTTTATACAAGGAAATGTAAACCCTTCATTTGGAAATTGTGTCTATGGCTGTATTAAGAAGCAAAACCTTATGTTGCTTTCTCTATGAATTATTTTCTAGGTACGGTTCCAAATACTGAAGGGCGTGTTCTATCTTCTGATTTTGCTAAACCTGATTATGGCTTGTACGTATGTGGGTGGTTAAAGAGAGGGCCAACTGGAATAATTGCAACTAACCTTTATGATGCAGAAGAAACGGTAAAGAGCCATTTTATCCTATGAATTAAAATATTTCTGTACCTATTGCTTAGCTTTTGTAATTTATCCCAGTAATCAAAGAGAAGTATCCATTGTAGAACCTTGTGGGTAACATCTTTTTCCAATTAATCTTAAGATACTTGTGGCAAGCTATAGCTATAATTATCGCCATTGATGGGTTAAAGAATTGACAGGTGGCAAGCATATCTGAAGACTTAGAGAAAGGAAAACTAACATCTGCATCGATAAAGCCAGGCAGGGAGGGGCTTCTTCAGTTACTGGAAAGAAGGAAAGTTCAAGTTGTTACATTCAGTGATTGGGAAAAAATAGATTCTGAAGAGAAGAGGCTTGGGAGTTTGAAAGGGAAACCCAGAGAAAAGTTGACCACTTGGAAAGATCTACTAGAAGTAACCACTAAATGAAGCAAAAACAAATGTGGGATATGTTCCAAAAAGTTCTCTCCTTCCAGATTGTTGCTTGAGGGGGCTTGATTCTTTGACTTCACAAGGATCAACATGTTATTCATGGGTATAAGGTTTATAGGGTCAGGTTTAGGGGAAAACTGCAAAAAAATGAAAAACTGAGGAACACCCTCGTAATCGTTCATCTAGGCTGTATTCGCATGTGCATGCAAGTAAATTTGTAAGCAATTTTTCCGGTATGCACATGTGCATAAAAACCAAAAAACAACTTCAATTACTTATATGCACATGTGCATACCATCCAGATGAATGGCTACCCGAGTGCTTCTCAGTTTTTCAATTTTCTGGGGGTTTTCCCCTGAACCTCTCGCTAAGGTTATATTCTTCAACTTTTGAAGCTGAGGCCATATGGCGATTGTTATACAACACATAATTGTTAACATTGTATCATGCATATAACATAAATTTCTAACAATTTTTTGCATCGATATGTGCTGGAATGGAGTTTTGCCAAATTCATTATTTTAGTTTATGGCAATAACTCTCTAGGAAAGCCAAGATCCATTCAAAAAAATTTGAAGCTTTACTTTGATTAGTGAACCATGTAAAAGTTGCTGTCAGATGTTGCTAGGTTTATCATAGTTGAGATGGGGTGAGTTTATCTTTATCTTGGTGTTCCTGCTTGGTGTGGGATAGTGTGGTTGGTTTGTTCATCTGAAAGAAGCATCTAGTTGGTGTCAATACCATTATAAACCCTAATCTGGTGATTCTTTCTACTTTCAACTGGAGAACCACGAATTAAGATGCAACGGCGTAAATGCTGGCTTGGATGCTTTTTTCACGGGCCACTTGCTTTTCCACCAAGGGACGTTAACTGCCTGTTCCTCAATGTTAATAAAGGTAAAATGACTTGATCACATCTCATGTTCATGGCTCCTTTGATTGTTATGGGTTTTAGTCTTCGTGTTAATATATCTTGATATTTTCTACAGCATTTCTTATTAATAGATGAACTGCAGTTGCTACACTTGGTGAATTGGCAATGTGTTCCTTAGGCAATGTACGGTAGCTATAAAGCTAGTTGAACTTGAAGATAAATGCTCAACACAAAATACTCAGCGGAGGTTTTAGCAGCCTTTGATCAGTATGACACACCTCCAGACAGGTCCGACTTTATTTTTTTTTAATACATTTAAATATTGATGAGTTCATTAACGCAACCTCACTCGATGAATATGGTAAAAACCAAGAATTTTATCCGGTAAGGGCAAACAAGGACCAAGAGTCTTACCCGGGAAGTGAGGGCAACAACTCTTACCATGATAAGTGCTTACGAGGTAAATTATTGCATAGGATGTTGTTTTGGTGGACCAAAATTTTACCCAGTAAGTAAATAGTATTGTTAAATTTTATGGATAAACACTTATCGGGTAAGTGTT